GCGTCCGGAGCCTGTGTTCCGCAACAGGAGAGGCCCGCATACCATTAAAAAAAAAAAAAAAAAAAAGAACTACTATACGACCCAGCAATCCCACTACCGGGCATATACCCTAAGAAAACCATAATTCAAAAAGCCATGCACCGCAATGTTCACTGCAGCACTATTTACAATAGCCAGGACATGGAAGCAACCTAAGTGTCCACTGACAGATGAATGGATAAAGTAGATGTGGCACATATATACAATGGAATATTACTTAGCCATAAAAAGAAACGAAATTGAGTTATTTGTGTTATGCTAACACATATATATGGAATCTGAAAAAAAAAAAGGTTTTCTGAAGAACCTAGGGGCAGGACAGGAATAAAGACACAAACATAGAGAATGGACTTGAAGACACGGGGAGGGGGAAGGGTAAAATGGGACGAAGTGAGACAGTGGCATGGACATATATACACTACCAAATGTAAAACAGATAACTAGTGGGAAACAGCCACATAGCATAGGGAGAATCAGCTCGGTGCTTTGTGACCACCTAGAGGGGTGGGATAGGGAGGGAGGGAGGGAGGCACAAGAGGGAGGGGATATGGGGATATATGTATAGCTGATTCACTTTGTTATAAAGCAGAAACTAACACATCATTGTAAAGCAATTATACTCCAATAAAGATGTTAAAAAATAAAGATAAAAAAGAAAACTTTCAAGGAACTGCTCCAATGATGTCACTAGGTTCAGATAGTTTCACAAAAGAATCTCAAACATTTGGGGTTAAGTAAATGATCAAATTACATACAACAGAAAGCAGTAAGTGGTAGGAAAAAGGTAGCTGGGGAAGGAGACTAGGGAAAGAAGAGAAATAAAGGTGCTGAGTTCACAATTACAATATCTAAAAATGGAGGCACAGAAGGCCTCATTGAGATGAACAGTGACATTTGAGCAAAGACTTGAAGAGGGAGCAAGCCATGTGCATAGCCTTGATTACAAACCAGATAAGGACAGTAGGCTAAGAGAAAATTACAAGCCAATCTCAGTCATGAAAATGGACACAAAAAGCTGAACAACCCAAACACAGCAATGTGCTTAAAAAGTTAGTACATCGTGATCAACTTGGGTTTGTCACAGGAATGTAGATTTGGTTTAACATTAGGAGATGATATACATTTTTTTCACTACATTAACAAATTTAAAAGATCGTTTCAATAGATACAGAAAAGAATTTAATAAAATGCAACACTTACTCATGATTTAAAAAAATAATAAAACAAACAAGCAAACAAAAAACTCTTAGAAAACTAAAAATAGAAGTTAAGCTTTCAAAAAGGGCAACTACCAAAATCACACACAGGGTATATGTTACCGAACCAGGTTTGTCTCGCCTGACGCCCAGCAAGATGAAACACTGAGATGCCGAGGTTTGCAGCAAAGAGGGTATTTATTCAGAAGACAGCCAAGCGAGGAGACAGGAGAACCAATCTGAGCTCTGCCTCCCAAGGCAAGGGGCTCGGGGTATTTATGGGATAAAGAATAAAGAAGAAGGGCGGTCCAAGGCATGGGGAGTGTGGGGAAAGGTGATTGGAAAAAGGTGTGGTAACTGACATTCCGAGCAGGTTTAACTAGGCTCCAGGCCTCTGCATGTTCTGAGGGTAGAGTTTTTAGCCCTTTGATGTCAAAAGATCACCAAGCAGACACTCTGGAATGCCCAGCTGAAGGGTGGGTGGTCCTATCCAGACTTACCCAGCTCAGCTCAAACTATAGCAGCTGACTCCAAGTTCCTGGAAAACAACTTGGGCAAACACCTTATTGTCTAGGCTAAGTGCAGCTTGGAGGTCAGGCAAATCTTAAAACGACCTTGATTAGTGACGGCAGGTGAAATGGATTTAACGCACGGTTTCAGTATCATCACTGTTAATAGAAACTTTAGAAACATGCCCTTTAAAATTAGGAAAAATGTCTAGTATCCATGCTTTTATTCATCTTCGTACTAAAAATCCTAATCAGTGCAGGCAGAAAATGAAAAAAAGCCTACGAACGACAAAGACATGAGAATGTCATTATTTACAGATGATATTATTACAAGATCCCAGACTCTACAAATTATTGGAAGTAATAAAAGTGTTTAGCAAGTTGCTGGAGAGAAGAAGACCCAGGTCCCTGCTTCCGGGTCCATCCTCCCAACACACTTTACGGGGAAGTCCTCCTCACTGCTGACTCACCGTGAGCCCCCATCCAGCAGAGTTCTTCCACCGAGGTGGAGGCCGCCGTCAGCCGGCTGATCAACCTGCACCTCGGGCCTCGTCCACTTACCTCTCTCTGAGCTTCTACTTCGAAGGCGTGGGGCGTGGGCCGCTTCTTCCAGGAGCCGTCTATGGAGAAGCGCAAGGGCGCCCCGCGCTGTCCCCGGAGGAGTGGGGCGCCAGCGTGGGCGCCACGGAGGCCGCCACGGCCCTGGAGAGGAGCCTGGACCGGGCGCTCTTGGATCTGCAGGCCCTGGGTTCTGCGAGCGCAGGCGCCCAGCTCTGCGAGCTCCTGGAGAGCCACTTCCGGCAGGAGGAGCTCATCAAGAAGCTCCTCAAGAAGAAGGGCGTGCACCTGACAGACCTGCGCAGTCTGGCCGGGCCCCCAGGCCGAACTGGGCGAGTATCTCTTCGAAAGGCTCTCCCGTCAGCGCAACTAGGAGCCTCCAGAGCCCTGCGGCCTCTGCGAGACCCCCCTGCCTTCCCCCGCCTCGAGATCTCTGCCCGAGCCCCTTCCTCCAGCCAGGAGGCAACCTTTTTTAACCACCCTGAAACCTTCACCCAAGCCGTGGTACCACATGGAAATAAAATTTCTTTTTGCAGAGGAAAAATAAGCTAGGCTATAAGAAGAAAACATAAGTGTCTGAATAGCATGAATGATTTGTAGTCTAATTCTCTAGATTTTCTAAAGAAATGGTTCCTAATTTATGTGTATCACCTGGGTACGCTGAGTGCAGTGTATCTGATAAACTATGTTTTCTCTGGCAAGAAGAATAAAGGCACATATTCAGACAACGTTGCATAGAATTTTAAGGGTTTCAGGACTTCTCCGGAGACATTCTGGGTACTGGATTCAACTCTGTTGTTCCAAAATGTATCTTTGGTTTTGTTGAGCAGAGCAGAGAGCTGAGTACCTTGACCATATCATATTGTGTTCCCCCCATCAACCCCCAAACTCATGATAAAATTGCTTTTCCTGATTTTCAAGTTGATGTGATGCCATCTGCCTGTACTGAAGAAAGAGCCCTGTGAAATTCATCTTTGTGTCTCCCATTAGGTTGCTACTGAGAACACTGATTATTAATTACATCATACACTGACCTCTTTATGAAGCCTCTCAAGAGAAATTTCTTTCTGGTCTTAATATTAGGAATAACAGTGCTTCGCTTGGGTAACTGGTTTGGTTTTGCTTTATGAACACTGTAAATGATGTAACTAAGTTTCCTTTTCTGACTGCCCGCTGAAAACTTAGAGCCAAATTTGTGGTCCACCCAGAGTAAGCGAGTAGGATTATATAAGCATTTTGCATACGTTTCATTCCTGGTTCTTCTATTACTAATTCCTTGGTGTATTTTATGGAGTCTTTTAAGCCACCTTAAACCCTTTCTGGAACAATGTTGTGTATAAGCAGATAAATAAACTTTTAAAATGTGGATTTAAAAAGAAATAAGACCCATATCAGAAATCAATTGGATATTTATATACCAATTAGCACAAAATTATATAACAATTTGAAAAAAATAGAAACAAAATATAAGTTATTTATAAATAAATCTAATAAAAGTGCAAACTCTACACAGAGAAAAAAATGAACTTTATTGAATTATATTAAAGAAGTTCTAAATAAATGGAAAATATGCTACGTTCAAGAATCGGAAGACTCAGTTCTCTCCAAATTGATGTATAGATTTATTGCCATTCCAATTAAAATCCAGTAGGTTGTTTTGTTTTTTTTCCTGGAACTTGGAAAAGTGATTCTAAAATTTACTAGAAAAGCAAAAGTTCAAGAATACACAGGATACTCCTGAAGAAAAAATAAGGAGTTGCCCTCTTAGATGCCAAACCTTTAATAAAGCTGGAATGATGAAAACTGACTTTGCCACAGGAATAGGCAAACTGACCAGTGGAACAGGCTAGGGAAGCAGACTCAAGAACATACAGAAACATGACAGATGACGTAGCTGTTAAAGGGAAAGCATGCACTATTCAATAAACTGGTTTCCACAGTGAGGGGCGGGGGCGGGGAGTAATTGGACCCTACCTGTCACCAGGCACAAAAATAAATTCTAGATGAACAAAGGCTTAAAAATGAAAACTAAAGCCTTAAAACTTTTGTAGGGCTTCCCTGGTGGCACAGTGGTTGAGAGTCCGCCTGCCGATGCAGGGGACACGGGTTCATGCCCCGGTCCGGGAAGATCCCACATGCCGCGGAGCAGCTGGGCCCGTGAGCCATGGCCACTGAGCCTGCGCATCTGGTGCCTGTGCTCTGCAACGGGAGAGGCCACAACAGTGAGAGGCCCGCGTACCACAAAAAAAAGAAAAAAAAAAAAAAAGAAAAAAAACACCTTTTGTATTTTTATGACTTCAGGATAAAAATAAATTCATTTAAAAAGATACAGAAAGCAGTCATAAATATTAACACCACTCCCATATATAAAGAGCTACAAATCAATAAGAAACACATAACCCAACTGAAAAATGAGCCAGAAACCCAAATAGATATTTTAAGGAAAAGGAAATGCAAATGGCCAATAAGCATAACAAGAGCTTAATCTTATGGGTGATTGGAGAAATACAAAAGCAGACCCTAAAGAAATATCATTTTACACCCACTAGAATGGCAAAATTAAGAAATCTGACTATACCAAGTGATGATGAGTGCATTGAACAATGGGAACTCACTGTTGGTGGGAGTATAAATTTGAAACCAATTTGGCTTTTACATCATCTAGCCTATGACTGAGAATCTTCACACCCAGATACTCTGTAGAAACTTTAGCATATATGCAGGAGATTAGAATATTCATAGGATCATTGTTTATACAGGCTGTAATCTGAAAATAACCCACATGTCCACAGACAAGAAAATAAATGAATAAATGGTGGAATAGAGGCACAATGGGATATTTTGCAGCAGTGAAAATGAAAGAACTATGGCTACATGTAATCTAGATTCTCTTAGTGACATAATGTTAAGTTTAAAAAGCAAATGACAGAATACTACATAGAATATGGTACAACTTTCTATACTACCCAAACACAAACAGAACTAAGCAGAGTTGTTTCAGGGCACATACATGCGGTAACAAAACTTAGAAAATGGGAGGGTCCAATGATTAACACAAAATTCAAGATAATTAAAAAAAAAAATCTCTGAGTAGGGAATGAGGGGATGGGAGGGAAAGGACTCCCTGAGGAGATGCAATAGGCTCTGGTAAAACTGTACTTCACAAATTAAGTTGTGTGTTCTTTATATTCTTTTGCAACATTATTATTAAAATATTGTGAAAATTTTAAACTTAAATTACAAAAAGAAACTGGAAAGTGCCCCGTTTCCGGTGTACTAGCCATAGATGCCGCCCGCAAGGTGCTCTGGGTCAACACGCTCGTTGGGCGTGGCGTCCGAGGGAGCGGAGCCCCCAGCGTCGCTGCACGCATGTGCCCTCCTGCCAGCCAATCAGAGACGCTCCCGGACGAGGCGAGGTCGGCTTTTCTTCCGCGAGAATTCTGACCTGCTTCGGAATAGCTTCGAGGCTGTGAAGAGGTTAAGTCTGAGGGGTTGGGGCAGGGGAGGCGGGAGCGGCGGGGACTTCTGTACTGAGGCGTAAAACTGTGGTCGTCGGCCATAGGGGTGTTTTTCAGGTGTGAGGAGGGGAGCGTTTGTCCCGCGCGGGAATGTGAGCCAGGGGTTATTCTTGACCTGTGAGGTAAATCTTACCCGCTGGGTCTCCCTGGGGCGCCTGACAGGAATTTGAAGGCAGTCCAGCTCCCTGCGGGCAGGGCCGTGAGTGGGCGGAAAGGCGCTAGCTGCGCTGCCTCGGGACTGGACGCGACGCTGGGCGGGTGGACAGGTTGACAGCAGGCGAGGAGGGTGGGCCCTCGTCAGCGGGCCCACACCTCGCAGAAACCATTTAGATGAAGCCAGGTCTCCCCTTCACTGGTCCTCGAGGCCTGGGTCGTGGAAATCTTACGGGACGTTATTTTCTGCGGTTCAGGACTCAGAACGTTTTATGTTGTATTTCTGTTGCTGGCAACTTCTTTGGGGCGGGCTCGTGATCCATCCTGTCAGTAATTACGATTTTCACATTGTGACTGAAATCGGCTGGGTCTAGATTTGCCCCGATTTAGCCAGAACCTGGCCGGGCTAGGATTCCGCCGCCCTCCCGGTCCTCAGAGGCGAACCACCGCCGGCGTCAGGGGCGGCGCAGTCATTATCTTCTTCTGTTAACTTTTGGTCCAACAGAATAAATGAAAAGACTCTTAAAGTGGTATTCGACTAAAATCATCTTTATTTGACATCTCTCATTTTGAAATTTGCCAGTTCATTTAAATGGTGTCTTTGGATTCAGCAGGTTTGATTTTTTTTTTTTTTTAATCAGAAAACATCGAAAAATGGTGCCCTCAGGAAGAAAACATACCGGGAAATCTGGGAGGACATTCATGGAGGATCAGGTTATAAGAGCCTGTGACTTTGAGAAAGTAGATAAAAAACATCTGATTGGTTCAGAGGATGTCATCGAAGGTACCGTATAGCTAATGTTGGGCAGTGACCATGGCCTGCATTTATTTTCATGTACTTCATGTTTCTTATTTGGACTTAGTGAAGCTCCTATAGCATCTTTCGCCTGATGTCTGATAAACAGTACATAGATTATTATGACATTAATACAGGAAGACTTGCAAAATTGTTCCCATAAAATGGTCTTGGATCCTGATTTAATTCCATCTAACCTGCAGAGAAAGTAGTGCATTTATATGTCTGTTTTAAAAACTTGTCTTGGCACAAAGCCTCAAAAAACCTCGAAATTAAGATATTACTCCATTTAAAAATTACCAAAATAGCATACTTAATTTCAACTTTTTTTATTGTCAATTCAGGGAAGACTCCAGTACTTGATAAACATGGGAAGAAAAGGACTTCTGCAGGAAAAGTTGAAGACGTGGGGTAATATGCTTAAACAATTTTCACCTCTTAGACTTTAAGAAAAGTCTAATTGGTTGTCCAATGAGTATTGCACGTAAAATACTGGGCATGTGATATTTCTTCCAAAACAAGAATGATATTTTATGGATCCTTAATTAAAAGTTTTTTGATGTATTTTTTTTTCACAGGGGTGAAGTGCAGAATATGCTGGAAAGATTTGGAGGTATGTTTTAGGAGATATTTGTATTCAAAATTGTTTTAAACCATATAATTTGTATAATAGTAAGTAATAATCAGTGGAATATAAGACTGTTATTTAATGCTTTGTTCTCATATGTAAGATTTTGCACAAGTATATGTGGTTCGGCTTCATAGATTTCCTTACTAACTTTTTCCAGTTGTTGACGTGAAAAGAGATGGTGCTAACGATGGTGAGTTAAGAATGGTCCTGTTACTTTATAGGTGTGTGAGTTTAATGGACTATGAAATTTTAGAGCAAAAATGGATGGGAAAAGTGTCTATCCCTCTGTTTGGACTTTCACGGACCAAGTGATACAAACACACGCACATATCTGTATATGTCAGTTTTTCATTTTCTCAATTTAGTTATTTTCTATGGCATTCCTGTGTTCTTTAGGAAGGGCAGTGTAAATTAAAGCCTTTAAAATAACTTTATTTTTATGTTTACATTATTAAACTATGTAGTTGAGAATTAAAGACCACCTTGCTAGTAAGCAAGAGATCAGATAAAAAGTTCATAAACTTTAAATTGTATGTCAAATATCAGTTACGTTAACTGTGTTAGGGGATAGTATTCTTATAAAAGAGTCAATATTTGGCTCCTCTCTAGTATTATTCATATAATCAAGTCTTTTTTGAAAGCTTTGCCCTATTTGGTAGTAACAAAATGCTTGTTTTATAATCTGTCTTATAAGTTTATTATTATAGATGGATATTGGAAATACAAAATATTTATGTAATAGTGTAGGTCACCTCATCGTGATTACTGAAAAGTAACTATTGATGGTAGATCCCTATGCACGTGCCTAGCAAAGGATTACTTGAAGTATTAAAAAGTTTATGAAACGCAGTACTTATATTATTGGTAAAATGTCCCATAAAAATGTATTTAAAAGGGTTCTTTTTTCTTTTTCTTTTTTTTCTTTTTGGCTGTGTTGGGTCCTCGTTGCAGTGCGCGGGCTTCTCATTGCGGTGGCCTCTCCCGCCGCGGAGCACGGGCTCCGGGCGCATGGGCTTAGCAGCTGTGGCTCGCGGGGCTCCAGAGAGCAGGCTCACGAGTTGTGGTGCACTGGCCCAGGTGCTCCACGGCATGTGGGATCCCCCCAGACCAGGGCTCGAACCCGTGTCCCCCGCACCGGCAGGCGGACTCCCAACCACTGCGCCACCAGGGAAGCCCTAAAAGGATTCTTGAATGAATTTATTTAGATATTTACTTAAAATAAGATTTTCCTATGCTTGGTTGGTCTTTGTCTCTTTTAGTAAAAATATTTTTTAAAGTATCACTGACTATATTTTAAAAAAGTATTTTCTTTAACTATTTTTATTCTTTTTAGACTCTTAAAATAGTTTTGCGTTTCATATAATGAGTTCTAAATTTAGCCTTTATTAGTGTTTTCTTATGAAGAAATTAAAGTCTGTCCTTCAGACCCTTTCTTTCAGTTATTAGCTCTTTTTAATCACCTCTAAATTAAAAAATTATCTCTAGTTAGGAAAATCAGAATTGGGATACCAATAACTAAAAGTTTTCTCAGAAAAAAAAAAGCAAGGAAATAATCTTGCTTTTTGATATTATGTGTATTTTTAAAGATCTTTTCAAAACTCTTGAACCAGCTTTATCGATGTTTATTTGAATACGTGGGAACAAAGTAACTTTCTTCCACATTAAATTTAATGAGTATTTATTTTCAATATAGCTGATATTAACAAGGCTCTTCTTGCCAAGAGAAAAAGACTAGAAATGTATACCAAGGCTTCTCTCAAAACCAGTAACCAGAAAATTGAAAACATTTGGAAAACCCAACAAGAGCAAAGGTAGGATGTTGTTTTTTTCACTGCCACAACATTTGCATCATTTCTTAGTATTCATCGGTGCAAATTATGAGAAGTATTATCATCTTCTACTTATTGGGATCTCTAGTAAAAAAGTATATTTGGCTTGATTTTCCTCTAAGTCCTTTAGTCCTATAACTTCATTCCTTCACAGACTTGAGATATATTTCCTAGAAATCAATAAAGATGTCCTTTTTCCCCTTTTAAATAATGTTTGAGGGTTTTTTTTAACAATAAAGGTAATTTATATTCATTCTAAAAATACACTAGCTGAATAAAAAGTAAATGTCATATAAACCATTAGTCTTATGATAGTTAACTGTTTAACAGTGTAGAAAAAGATCAACCTTATGTATTATAAATAATTTGTATATTTTAGCTGAATTAACTATTCTTTTGTACAAAATCATTGTACCAAAATGAGGAAAAATTAAGTGAAATATTTCTATTTGGAAATGTTATATGATAAATATAATAACTTCAGTGAATCTATTTATCATATCACAACCTATATTCAGTAGGAGAAAATGAAAAATAAATTGCTTGGAGATAAAATGGACTTTTCTGGAAAATGTATATGTACAATAAAACTCCCTTAGTTTTCAAGAGCTTAAAGTACATGAGAGGGTTTTTCTGTTAGTTGGTTAGGAAAATAAATACTTCTGAATCATGATAAATCATAACTTTACTTCTTGGCTTCACATCTGAAAATTTGATATTATTTTCTTTTTTATTATAGTATAATTAGTCAAATCAGTTTTGTCTTGAAAGTCTTTCCATATTGATGTGAAATATGACAATATTCATTATGTTTTACAGGCAGAAGCTTAACCAAGAATATTCTCAGCAGTTTCTGACTTTGTTCCAGCAGTGGGATATAGATGTGCAGAAAGCTGATGAACAAGAAGAAAAACTAACTGTTAGTATTATGCTTAGCTTTATAGCTTTATAATTAATCTACTATTACCAAGTGTCAAGTAGGAAGGGAGAGGCCGGCCTTGCAGTACATCCATGGACCTTAGCCAGGTTCCATTGCCCATTGCTGGCTATATGAGTTTGGTTCTGCTGAATGCAGAAGTACAGGCACATACCATACTCATAAAAGCTGTTGGTCTTTGCTTCGTAACATATTGTTAATATCAAATTTGCTATTATTAATACTATGCAGAGGTTATAGTTTTTGGTAATGACAAAATCTAGGGTATGCGTATGTAAGTGGATGGCTAAAGTAGGGTGAAGAACAAAAATCATTGGTGGAAAACAGGCCAAGAAACTGAATGACCAGCAATATTGTAAGGATCATCTGTGTTGACACTGAAAGCACCAAGAATTAAAATATGTTTTGAGTACTGTTGAGATTTCCTACTCAATGACCGGTAGAGTTATTATATTATTGTATATAAGTGGTGAACACAAATTATGTAAACTCAGTCATAGTAAATGCTAAAATCTTAAAAATATTGATTTAAAAACTATTCCTTTTAAGTGTAATGTAGAATTAATTTTTGCTAAATTTTACCCAAATTGTTATTTCATAATTTTTTCTTTTACATTTGTAGAATATGTTTCGACAGCAACAGAAAGTTTTTCAACAGTCTAGAATTGTTCAGAACCAGAGACTGAAAACAATTAAACAATTATATGAGCAGTTCATAAAGGTTTGTTGTATTTGGTAACATAATACATTCTTATAAAATATAATTCATTTGTGGAAGTAGAAGATAAATTTTTTCTCAGTTTAAGGGAAGAACATTTTGCTTATACATTTTAAATTCTTAACAGTTTTCCATTTTGAATGCATTGTTTTCGATTTAATTTAAGTGCTAAATGCTATCACTAAGTATTACCACTTGGTGTAGGAACTTTAGTACTATATTTGACTCCTCCATCTCTCTTATTCTTCACAACCACTGCTACTGCCCTAGTTCAGAACCTCATTATTCTTTGCTTATACTATGAAAACTCTTAACTGATTTCTGTTTTCCAACCCATCCTTCGTGGGTCTGCCATATTATCTTTCTATAACATTACCTTTTCCCTCCTGAAAAACTGTCAGTAGCTTCTCATGCTAAATTCTTAGGTATTCAAGATTCACCCCCAAAAAATATGATTCTTTTTTTAATGCTCCAATTACTACATTCATCCATTACTTCCACCCCCTCCACATAACGGCTTTCTCTGAACTCACTCACTTTGCACTTTCATGCTTTTGTTTATGCTCTTGCCCTAGAATACTTTTAACCCCTTTTCCTAACCTTCCTTTCAGTCTTATTCTTTTGCCAACTAAATTGGAATTAAGTCCCCATTTTCTACTATATAGCTACGGGAAGTTGTGCTTCTATTCCTTTTATAAAATTTTGTGTGATTTTTGTTTGTTTCTTCCAGTGAGAAGGTACACTACTATTGTACCTCCTTTAATAATATTTGATTTATGTCTGACATTTTCTATTCCTTCAGTGGATATTTTGGTTTTCATGTATTAGAATATTTTTATTTGAGATAAATAATGTGCATTGATGAATATTAAAAAGTTCCTGCTTTTGAAAATTAATTGTATAAGTTTTGAACCTGAGATGAAAAGTGGTGGTTTGTAACTGAACTAGCCTTTTGTGTTTTAGAGTATGGAGGACTTGGAGAAGAATCACGATTATCTACTTACTGGTGCACAAAACGAACTTAGAAAAGAAATGGCTATGTTGCAAAAAAAAATTATGATGGAAACGGTAAGTTATTATATTTAAAATTGAAAAAATAAGGATTATTGTAAGCATTGAAATATTTTATTTGCTGAAATATGTATAACACTTATCTAAAAATTAAACAAATGTTTAATATCTCCTTTCATTTGACAGCAGCAGCAAGAGATGGCAAATGTTCGAAAGTCTCTTCAGTCCATGTTATTCTGATGACTCTTTGAAGGAATAACTTGAACCTAAGTAATATGATACAATTATAACATTAGCTAAGAGGCATGTAAGTTTTTAGAGTGGTTGAAAATTCTGGTTTAAAATATTACATCATATTAATCATTAGCTTAAGTGCAAGACCCTTCTTCTTCACCTCCAAATAAAATAATGAAGTTATGTGAGTAGCAGCAATTCCTAAATTATATGTACCACTGTGCTTTCAGCTCTTTAATACTAATAGTGATTTTTTCTAACATTTGTCAATTAACTCTTAGCAATAAATATGATTTAATTTCAAGTTTTGGCTTCAGTGTATTTGTATCACTTCCAAAAGGTAGAAAGCACAGGTATAGATGGTTAATTAATTTTGTTCTTAAGGAAAAAAACCCCACAAAATCTGTTTTATACGTACACCCTTTCATGCATATTCATTAAGTTACACTACCAATTCTAATGAAAATAAGATTTCAAAAGAAAATACATTCTATTGACTTACAAAATTTATTAAACGCAACTTAAGTTTCCGTTCTGGAATAAATTAAACTGCTAAAAACCATTAACACAACCGAACAAGATATATAAATAATCCATTTTAAGACATGGATTTGTGAATGTCATTTCCACAACATCAAAATGCCATTTAATTTGGCTCAGTCCACAATTAAATGACACATGCCCTTAGTAATGACAAATTGCATCCTGCAATCTGTCTTTAACTATAAATTACACAGAATGTCTTTAACCATCTGTCTTTAACTATAAATTACACAGAATGTCTTATTTTTCAGTTTTAATATTCAGTAAGTATATGGATGTTTTTACATTCATTTCCAAATTTGAACAGTTAATTCCTACATCCTGTATTTTAAAATGTGCATTTTTAACATAGAAAAACATATGAAACTCTTGATTTAATAAATATTAAATTGTTTCAGCATTTGTTTGAAATATTTGAGTTAAACTTACTATTTTTTGCTGAAACTACTTTCACTGAATCATTCAAAAACAAAAAATATGCCCAAAAGATGGAGAAAGGAGTGACTTTGTCCTGTTTTTCCATATTTTAAATTCTAATTTTTGCTGCATAACCCACACTTATCTTAGTTTTAGGTTTTCCAAGTTTTTAAAAATGAATCCATACTGATTCTCTTTTTCTAACTGTGCTAACTTATGTAGGAAGAAATTAGTCCTCCACCATTAACAAATATCTGACATTAAGGGGACAGTTTACTTCCTAAATTTTTGCATTTTGTAAAGCCTTTTAAGCCAACGTACATGCTGGAATGTAAATTTTAAGTATTATAAAATTTAAGTTTTAAGTACTATTCAAATTAAGAAGGTCCTTATTGAATTTACCAGTTGTTTCAGAGGCAAAATAAGTCCTCCAGAGTATTTTCTGTGTACTTAATTCACATAAGTATATATTTTTTCCTTTTTTTTAAAAAAAATATTTATTTGTCTGCACCAGGTCTCAGTTGTAGCATGTGGGATCTAGTTCCCTGACCAAGGATTGAACCCGGGCCCCCACATTGGGAGCATGTAGTTGTAGCCACTAGACCACCAGGGAAATCCCTATTTTTTCCTTTTAAGGAATATCAACTTTCACTCTTTTTCAATATGCCTTTTTCTTGCATATTAAGATATAGTACATGTTCATTACTCCTTTTTTAAAAAAAATTATTTCACCATATGGCTTATGGTCTACAGAACTGTTGGATAAAATTACAAACAGGTAAGATGGGAGTCCGAGGATTTGGATCACCAAAGACCCATGTGATAGTTCTATTATTCATAATGAGCAAGGTAAACACTTTTAAGTGGGAGTGGTAAGATGAGAATCAGTACATAATGTAGTTAGTTGTTGAATAACAGATACTTATTTTATCCCCATTTTACCTCAAATGAGTAAAAGTGTACTTGAAGTAGCTTTAGCTGATATTCTAAAGGGAAGATAGTTTTGCTATGTTTTCATAAATTACTAATTTTCTTACACGTCAATTGTGCTTTAGCTATTGTTTTGTTTTTCACAAAGGGAAATGTTTAATGTCTCCTTTTTTTGTGACAATGAAGTTTAAACTCAGAATATCAAGGAACAAGTTGCCCTCACTGTAAAGATTCATTTGTTTTTCTGAACTGGTAAGATAAATTCCTCTTACTGACTACAAATTACAGAAGTTGGTACACTAAAGCAAGTATTTCGTTTTATACAATAGTAATTAATGTACCTTTTTTGAAAATGGCTAATAAAAAATACCTATAACATCATTTGACTCGATAATTACACTATTACAATTCATGCACTTATGCAATATTATGAATGCACTTGTCAATTTTTAGCGAAGTAAGCATCACCCTCAAGATGGATAAAATCCTTTAAGTCCTGAATTTTTATGTAATCCTTTGGCAGAGAAAACCCCAATTGTCTGATAAGGATTTCTGAGACAAAGAGATTGCTCTTTAGAACTATAGTGGTTCACTTTCTTATACTCAGAAAATTGAAATTTCTTTCTTTGGTTTTGTTTCTAATTAATTTACAGATTGTATTACTCTGATAATACCTTGATAAAAAATGTTGCTACACAACGAGGGCTTTGCCACTGAAACAGACATAATGGAATCTACAGGACTTAATGTTTATATTAAAATATAACCTTATTTGATAGTATACTAGCCTCCTGAAAAAGGGGATTCCCTTCACTCCTAGGTTCCCCTAACTGCTTCTCCTCTTTTCCTTGGGCTATTAGTCAATATGCTTGTGAACCTGTTCAGGTGCTTGATGACATGAAGTCTTGAAGATACTTAGATGAAGGTGTCTTGAAATTTGCAGGCACAAAGCACTAAAGTACCTCATCATATCAAATGAAGAAATGACCTTTAGAAGCAAAAAAGAAAATATAAAATGGATTATGGTCTATCTTTTCTAAAGCAGCAGCTATTTTTCTGTCCCCTCACCCCCTAAACTCAAACCTTAACCAAAAATTCTTCACCGAAAATATTACATTTTATAGTTCATATTTGGACCTCACTGTAGTCCTCTAGAATATGCAGGGTATTTCACAGTTACAGAAACTGAGGCTGAGAGTGGTAAAAGGTATAAATTACAAAAGCTGGAAAACAACAGAACTCAAGTCTTCTGACTCCATATCCTTTCAATTTTCTACTGTACAACAAAGCCTCAAATTTTCTACTAGAAGGGGCTATCAGTCATTATCATGAAATCACTTCACCATATACTTTTCTTATTCCTTTGAGAGTAGCTGTAAGAAAGTAAAGGCCTGGAAGAGACATCATAGTTGAGGGAAGGCATATACAAAATTGTGTTCTTTACAAAATTAAGCGGGAGGCACACTATTTAAGAACTTTCCCAGAGGCTGGGGGGAAATGCTTCCTTTTAGAAAAAGGAGCCTCACAGCTCTGCCGATGGAGAGGGAATTCTCACCAATGGGGGGAAAAAATCTCCTTATCAGTTGCTTGAAAAACTCCGTCTGACTCTTTTCTCTCTGAAGCAAGAACCTTTTCCCTAAGGATGCCAAAGGGCACAATACGCTTATTTTGGTACACATAGTGGTTTTTTGTTTGTTTTTAATTGTGGTCCACAAAGTGTTTTAAAGAAAAATTGAATTCGACTTTCTCACCACAATCTCCACCACTGATGTAAAACCAGGCCAACTCACTCATTACAAATGAGGTGCTCAAATTTTTAACACCTGATATTTTAATTCTGTTAATTCCATTTGGTAATACTTAACGTTCACTAAAAGAAACCCTACATTGAATTTTCAGATATTTTGAAAAATCACCACCTATTTCTTACATTTAGATTGTTTTGGAGCCCTAATAATATTTATAGTGGATAGCAAATTAAAAGAAATTATTCTGATTTTCAGATATTTTTTAGCATATTGCCTGAGAAACTTTCAAGGACTAAGATTTACATCTCACCACTATTTGAAGAATGGAAGACTTCTGAATGGATATTAAGTTATTAACTTACTCTAAAAAAAAGTATAATACTATAGAACCTAGTATAAAGGATGATCAGCTGTACCCCAGGGGTCCATGCACAGAACAGACAGGCTTTGTTTTAATACCTCTATCTAACAAATAGTGTGAGATCATTTAAATTATCAAAAGGTTCAGTGTTTCTTTTAGCTCACTTTAATATTAGTTTTTGTATATCACTAACAATTTGGTGAAGTCCAGTGAGGTCTGAGGTAGCAAAATTGTCCAGAACTACCATTAATTGAAGACCAACCATAAAGATAATGTCTTAGTAAAATAAAAAATTTAGCAATGCCTCCTTTATCCACTTGTGTGATTAAAATGTTACCAACAATGATTTTCTTTTCCTCAGATGGCTAAAGCTTCTCTCTTATGCACCATAATTCTATTTTATAATCATTTTGAACAGAAATTAATATATGTATTATCCAAATCACTTTTTAAGCAGGATGCAATTAATGAGAATTTAATTTGCTTGATAAGAGGCATCATTATTAATATAAATTTTGCACTATCCTCAAGGGCCATACAGATACATAGCATTGCTTACTTCTAGCATAAAATGGTCCCAGAACCTTGTACTGGGTAGTCCTGTCTGTTCTGTTTTGTTTTGTTTCCTCAGTATTAGCTGACAGTTCTTGATACAGTAGTGCCCACCTCTGCTAACACCAACTACATTTAATTTACCTGTTATCTGCTATAAGCTCATAATAATTCTAACAAGCTGGATTAAATAAGTCAGACACTAATACATGTCTGTAGTCCTTTGCCAGAGAGTTGAAGTGATTTTTGACATCTTAGTACTGGTTTTTTGGTACTATTTTTTTTAAGGTACACAGTTGTGTTTTTAAGGATTTAGGTTGTTGGAACCCTGATCTCCAGATATGTGGGCCGTTTTCAAACACAATATAAAGCAAGCTTTAAAGAAGTAATTTTAAATGTTCAGAAACAGTTACTGTATAGATTAGAAAGTAAGGCTACCTGATATCTCACTGAAATGACTCATTTAAGCATAGTATTATCTGATATTTGTTAAAAATAAATAAAAATCTTACCAAGAAAGCACTTACCATTGCTATCCATAGAACAACATATTCGTCTACAAAATTATTAAAGTACTGGTCTAAAAATAAAAGACCTGGGCCAAGAAAGACAGTGTCTTGAAGATACAGTTCACTTTTGGTCATGTGAGCTATCTATAAAAAAGTAAACAAAATAATTTCACCATTAAATTTTAAATGTTTTAGCTTTCAGTTTCAGGATAGAATTACCTAGAACTTTAATTTACTATTAAGA